GGGGGCCAGCAGGATTCGGGGGAAGGAGGTGGTTCAAGAAATTGTAGTTTCGGCGTAAAACTCCTTAGGCACCGCTCGCTCTCACCTCTGTCTGGGTCGGGCCACTTTCCCTCCTGACGTCCGGATTCCAGGCGAGCACCTGACCTTCCGGATTCCCCGTGCAAGGTCAGGAAACGAGGACCACGGTCCGGGCGCAGATGTCTATGTCCCGGACCTCGAGTGCCCAGCTGGCCCGCACGTTACCCGCACCCTTCGTTCCCCTGCCCTGCGCCGGCCACCTTCCTCTGGGCCACGAGGATTCTCGCTGGAGTCTCAGCGGTGCCAGGGTCACCTCGTCCCTGCGCGCAGATCCTCCACCAGTTCGCTGAGAGGAGGAAAGCGAAACTTGTTGCTTCCACAGGCGAGAGAAAGTTTCCGCTTCTCGAAGTGCTGGAGAGCTCAAAAAGCATCCCCACGCCATCCTCGGGGCTTTGTCTGCTAAACCAAGTAACTGAAAAGACTGTGTCCCAAAAATGTTCCACCACCGATGGTCCCCTTAGTATGGGTGCCCACTACCCTCCGACTCAAGCGCTCGGAGATCCCACTGCTTCGGCTCCCCCGCGCGCGAAGCACTGGGCTCCGGTCTCGCCCGTGCCAAGAAAGGCTGGCTTCCTGGGGACGCAGTCGTACGCGTCGGTCACAGCTGCGACAGCGGTGGAGACAGGCTGGAGACCGCTGTACTGAATTCGGTGGCCCAGAGGAGCAACGCGGGAGTCCGCCGCGCCGCGGGGCGGGTCGGAATGGAACTGAAACCTCTGTGCGTGTAACACACCCAAGTCATTTGCAATGTGAACGTGCTACCGTGGACGGGAGAATTCTGACACTTAAGTCCCGCAAATTAAAATAAATGGAAAATGTTTTTAAATGGTCTTTCATTTGACTGGGCGTCTGTATGCACGGATTTCTAGTTAGTCTTAGACCGACGCCCTCTTTCGGCCGAAGCTTGCACCCGACTCGATCCACGCGCTGCGTTTTTTTACTCTGAGGCCCTAACGTGCTCTCGCTCTCATTTGTGAACTGAAGGGCAAATTAGGGTTTCCGAGGGATGTGACAGTTTCAGGCACCAGCGCTCCCCGCGGTTCGCAGCATTCTCCCTACAGCTCTACCTGGCACCGTGGCTGTAATTATGGGTAAAGTGTCACCCTCTGGATCGTTAGATCTCAGATTATGCACTGTGATCCCTAAACCTTCACTGTAGGTAGGAGTGTCTATCTCCCATGAAAACTTTCACTTATTTCTTTAGAGCCGATGAGTAGCAAAGAGGCATCTGTCTAACTTTAAACTCTACCACCAGGGTAATACACACACTCGAAATTGAGATTTAGAGCTTCGCGGTAATTAAAGCCTTCCTGACACCTTGGAAGAGGGCAGGCATTTATGGGATTGTAGATAACAACAACAACGACAAAACAAAAAAAAAGAACGACTAAACCTTAAATTCCAAAGGTCTTAATGTATTTCAAAACTGGCTGCCAGGAGACGTGGAGTAACCAGGGTTTCCTATTACTCCGGAATGCCCTGTGTCTGGGGGACACTGGCCAAGGCGATATGATTCTGCAGTGTGTGATGTGGGCTCATTCGGAGAGTCTGGGGTTTCAGTGGCACCGGGTGTGAACGCCTCTCCCATCCCAGGCGGTGCCCAGCCTGGTCTGTGGGTCAACAGAAGGTCAGTGTGGTTGACGTCAGGGTGAGTCCCACAGCCTCTCCGTGGCCTTTGGATAGGAGCTCTCTGGCTTCCAGTTTGTCACTAAGAGAAGACAGGACGAAACTATGGACGGGTAGAGAACGGGCGGCTAAACCAAAAAAAGTCCGGTGTTTTGCTAATGATGATGCTCAAAACCCCCTTTAAATATTGCAATGATTTTGAAGAAAGTTTTTCAAGTGAAAACAAGCAGAAAATTGTAGCCAGACCCTCCCCCTCCTGTAATTTAACTATAGGAGTTTAATGTCATGGGTTTGTTTACTTTCCATCAAATTTGACTTTCTGCCACCAGTTGGAAGTTTGTGTAAATATCATGGAATCTGAAAATCTTCGGACCAGAAAAAGACTTTAGAAGTCACCCAGACTGACACCTTTGACTCCTTAAATGAATAACTGAAGTCTAGAAAGTATAAATATATACTTAAATGTTTCTTCATCTCCTGAGAATATTTTTACATGGGATTGGATTAGAAATAAACCATTTACCACCTATTATACCACTTTAAAAGGCACAAAGCTGACTCCTGTTTTAAGTAGTGACAACATTACATCAAAATTGTACTTTATATAGACCTAAGGTTTTTTCTTTTTTGAGACAGAGAGCTAGAAAGCGAGAAATCACCCCCCAGGGAGGATGGCCACGCTGCAATCCCTTCTCCTCCATTCTCCTCTTGGGATTTTGGTCATGCACGCACACGCGCCCGGGTGTGAGTTTAAACTACCAGGTCTGGGATTCACACCGTGGTCAGCTACATGGGAGTTCAGCAACATAGAGCCTTCCTGACACCTTGGAAGAGGGCAGGCATTTATGGGATTGTAGATAACAACAACAACGACAAAACAAAAAAAAAGAACGACTAAACCTTAAATTCCAAAGGTCTTAATGTATTTCAAAACTGGCTGCCAGGAGACGTGGAGTAACCAGGGTTTCCTATTACTCCGGAATGCCCTGTGTCTGGGGGACACTGGCCAAGGCGATATGATTCTGCAGTGTGTGATGTGGGCTCATTCGGAGAGTCTGGGGTTTCAGTGGCACCGGGTGTGAACGCCTCTCCCATCCCAGGCGGTGCCCAGCCTGGTCTGTGGGTCAACAGAAGGTCAGTGTGGTTGACGTCAGGGTGAGTCCCACAGCCTCTCCGTGGCCTTTGGATAGGAGCTCTCTGGCTTCCAGTTTGTCACTAAGAGAAGACAGGACGAAACTATGGACGGGTAGAGAACGGGCGGCTAAACCAAAAAAAGTCCGGTGTTTTGCTAATGATGATGCTCAAAACCCCCTTTAAATATTGCAATGATTTTGAAGAAAGTTTTTCAAGTGAAAACAAGCAGAAAATTGTAGCCAGACCCTCCCCCTCCTGTAATTTAACTATAGGAGTTTAATGTCATGGGTTTGTTTACTTTCCATCAAATTTGACTTTCTGCCACCAGTTGGAAGTTTGTGTAAATATCATGGAATCTGAAAATCTTCGGACCAGAAAAAGACTTTAGAAGTCACCCAGACTGACACCTTTGACTCCTTAAATGAATAACTGAAGTCTAGAAAGTATAAATATATACTTAAATGTTTCTTCATCTCCTGAGAATATTTTTACATGGGATTGGATTAGAAATAAACCATTTACCACCTATTATACCACTTTAAAAGGCACAAAGCTGACTCCTGTTTTAAGTAGTGACAACATTACATCAAAATTGTACTTTATATAGACCTAAGGTTTTTTCTTTTTTGAGACAGAGAGCTAGAAAGCGAGAAATCACCCCCCAGGGAGGATGGCCACGCTGCAATCCCTTCTCCTCCATTCTCCTCTTGGGATTTTGGTCATGCACGCACACGCGCCCGGGTGTGAGTTTAAACTACCAGGTCTGGGATTCACACCGTGGTCAGCTACATGGGAGTTCAGCAACATAGCCATTACGCTAACTGCTGGTCCCTAGACCTAAGTTTTGAGACAAGCTGAGTCCAAAAATGATATCATTCCATAATAGAACTTTTGCAGCACTTAAATTATAAACAGACCAAGATAACAAAGAAGGGAAAAAGGGGCCAGCAGGTGTCACGGAGGTTAAGGAAGCTGGATCCCACATGGCCAGCGTCATGATTTGAGTCTCAGACCCGGTGGCTTGAAAATTACACCCAGCACATGTGAGTACACATGCTCACAATCCCAAAAGGAGATTGAAGGAGAAAGGACTGCATAATCCACTCTAGGAAGTGCTTTCTCACTTTCCCTCCTCTCTCTGTCAAGTGAGCACATGTGCCCTTCAAAACAGAAAAAGAGAAAAGGAACAAAAATAGAAATAATTCACCCCTTGGACTTAATCTTTAAATATTTTTTTCTTCCAATTCTGTAAAGCCACTGAAGGGGGCAGTTTGGGGGTTTTATTTATCCCATGGGAGGGTGGATACCTTCAACAATGTCTTTAAGCCTCTATTCACCCCGGCCCCAGCCAACCAGAACCAAACACACAAAGACCTTGGAATGTGAACCCAGGACCCTGGTTCTGGCATGGCAGTGTTGTCACCCTGAAGTCACCCAGACTGGCTCAGAGGTACTTATTTAACATTCAAAAGAACATTAATCTTTTTTTTCTGAGTGCATCCTTTCTGGCTTCTATAGTGGAATAAAAACCAAGTTATAAGGAAATACTGCAAAATAAAATAAAGTTCACCAATGGAAAGTCTAAAGACAATGTTAGCCCTAAACAAGATTTCACAAAAATGAAGAATTTTCATAAGATTTAAAAATGTTTTTATCAATAGCCATCAACCAATTACTTTTTCATTTTAAGCTACGCGAGTAAAGTGTTGTTTTTTCTACAAATAATTCAACTGTTTGTTTTCCAGCACCATGAAATGAAACCGGGGCTTCTATACAATTCCTTCACTACCAGGAAGACAACGCTATATGGGGAAACTAACATGTGATTCTTTTGAATGTATTAGAAATGGTATCAGCAGAAGGGATCTAGAACCCT